AGAGCAGTGTAGGAGAAAGGGACCTGGGGGTCCTGGTAGACAGAAGGATGACCGTGAACCAGCAATGTGCCGTTGTGGCCAAGAAGGCCAATGGCATCCTGGGGTGCATTAGAAAGGGTGTGGTTAGTAGGTCAAGAGAGGTTCTCCTCCCCCTCTATTCTGCATTGGTGAGGCCACATCTGGAATATTGTGTCCAGTTCTGGGCCCCTCAGTTCAAGAAGGACAGGGAACTGCTTGAAAGAGTCCAGCGCAGAGCTACGAAGATGATTAAGGGAGTGGAACATCTCCCTTATGAGGAAAGGCTGACCGGTGGTGTTTAAGGCCAGGTTGGATAAGGCTTTGTGCAACTTGGTCTCGTGGGAGGCGTCCCTGCTTAGAGCAGGGAGGTTGTAAATTGATGACCTTTAAAGTCTCTTCCAACCTGAACCATTCTGTGATTCCAAACACAGGTAGAGGATTCCTTCCCTGCTGAGCCTGTACGACTCTTGGTGCAGCCCTGGATGTGGCCATCTAATGTGAGGCAAGAGGCATGAAAAGCATTGGAGAATGCGGGCATCGATCCCGCTGCCTCTCGCATGCTAAGCGAGCGCTCTACCACTTGAGCTAATTCCCCATCCCATGGGCTGTGCTGGGGGTCCTCTCCCCTGCCAGTCACCCCCCTCTGACCCAGGCCACCCTGCACCCAAAGACTGGGCCTCCCACCGGTGTCGCTGTCCTAGCGCCCAACACCCCCTCCCTGTGCTGCTGCTGGGGAGCCCTGCCCAGCCCAGTGCTCAGGAGCCTCATCCCCTGCCCAGGGCTCAGTCACAAGTGCCTTGACTGGTTGTCTCCCCCAGCACAGGCCGGAGCTCAAGTCTGGGCAGCCCTTGCAGGGGAGCCAGGGCCAAAAGGTGCCAGCAGGTCTGGGCCAGCGGCAAAAGGACGCTCCTTCAAGCCGGCGTTGAACCAGCGACCTAAGGATGGCTGTGCCAGGGAGCCTACAGTCCTCCGCTCTGCCAGCTGAGCTATCAAAGGAACCAGAGCTCCTTGCCCACTGCCTCACCCATCACACACTCATCATCACACTCACCTTCCCATGCATCATATGCCTCCACCCCAACATCTCACTTCAAACAGCCTCAGCTCCAACATCACACCACCTTGCACAACCCTTCACACCAGCAAATCCTGAAAACCTCAAGACAAGCTCCACAAGCGCCTTGCAAACCCTCTTCTATGGCCGGACTCTCCTCAGGACAAAAATACCCTTTCCCATATCCTGCTGCAACAGATCCTGATCCAATTTCACTCAGCTGCCTTTTAGCCTCTGGTCAGACACTAGACAAAAAATCAGCATTTCCTCAACTCTCTCAGCCCCTCCCAAGTGCTGGAAGGTCACGTGCAAGTCCTTGGTAGTTCTCTTTCTCCAGGATGGACGTGCCCAGTGTCCTTAGAGCATCCTCACATGGGAATCCCTCTGTTCCCTGAGCTTCTTGGTGGCTCTCCACTGCAGCGGCTGCATTTTTATTGATGTCTTTCCTGAGCAGGGCACCTCACAGTGGGACACAGTGCGTGAGATCACATTTGGCTTGTGTTCAGCCAAGAGGGGTTGCCTGTTAATCAGCCAGGGCTGCTCTTGTTACACACCAGAATGTTGTCCTACACTTCCCTACCTGGGTGCAGAGCAAGATCCCATGTCCCCGAGAAGACAGGGTCCCAGGCAAGAGCCTCGTGTCCAGGCAAGAGGCATGAAAAGCATTGGAGAATGCAGGCATCGATCCCACTGCCTCTCACATGCTAAGCAAGCACTCTACCACTTGAGCTAATTCCCCATCCCATGGGCTCTGCTAGGGGTCCTCTGCCCTGCCAGGCACCCTTGTGCCTTTCTGGCCTTCACTGGATGTGGCCTGTATCTCTGCTTGTGCTGCACCTGTTCCCCACTGGTGATGCATACTCCCTCCTGTTTAAGCAGGAGCATGGACCTACCTGTCCAGCACACAACTGCATCTGAAGTCTTTGCAGCTCAATAATCCCACTGGATTATTGAGCAGAATCTTGTCTTCAGATGCCCCATTCTGACCTGACAAATTCTTCCTTGTTGTGGACTTCCTGACTTGAGCCAGAAAGGTGCTGCAGGATCTGGGCTAGAGCCAAAAAGGACACTTCTTCAAGCCAGAGTTGAAGCAGCAACCTAAGACTAACTAACAAGGGAGCCTACAGTCCTCTGCTCTACTAGTCGAGCTAATGAAAGGACAATAGAATGGACTCTGACACTGTTTTATACTCCATGGCACAGCTATAACTTACCCTATACAACATAGCTTGCAGCCTCCAAAATGTTTCACCCTCCATCCAGGTGTACCCAAATCAGATCCACCCGTGCAGCACAGTCCAGCCTGATCTCACCTCTGATCCTTAGCCTTCCACTTGCAGGAGGTGCTGAGCATATTTTTCTGACTTCATTTTCATGACTGCCCCATCCATCTTGTGGGATGACTATTTCTCTGCTTGTGGTCACTTTTCCAAACTTGTCACATAGCTCTCTGCTGTGAAGGGCTGGAGTGGTCAGTGGTCCCAAGGTGGTGAAGCAGAAGGCTATCCATCATGAGAACAGTCTGAATGGACAAAAATCCAGGTTTTTGTTACAGGAAGTAGCCAGCAAACTCGTGGGTTCATTGCACTCTTTACTTTTTGCTTCTTCGTTTTCTCTACGCATAGTGAATGACCGTTGTCACTTTTCCAGGCACCCACAGGGAAGCTTCTATATAGCTGATAATTAGGTCATGTAGTTCTTACTTTTATTGTTTCTTGGGTTGAACCAGAGTCCTTTTTCTCACTCATATGAATTGCACTACCAGTATATAGATATCTCTCCCGTTATTAAATCATCTCGAGTTAGTATTTGTCATTTTTGTGCAGGGACTTGTTTTGTTAATGTCCTCTTTTTAGAGACGACAGCTCTCCCCAAATCAAAGGAAGAACATATCACTCCTTTTGCTAATTGTACTATGTTGCAAGTAATTCTGTTAGTATTCTAAAAGAATACTCGGTAAAGTGAGGGTGCAGCTAATGTTTTTCACCTTTATGAAACGGCATTTTGTTTAAATTCTTATTTTTTAATGAAATTGCTGGGGATATGGAGAGGGTGGAAGGTGTCTTTGGGTTTGTAGGGAAAGAAAGAAAGGCTGGAGATGGATTGTCCAATGCCTGCAAGCAGGTATGGGTTTTGAAAGTAATACCTGTTTTCTTTTTTTTCTTCTTCTTCTTCCACTCGCTGGGGTTTGTTTTCAGATAAGAAAAGGGATAGGTTGCATAAGCTACTTAAATACTTGAATGGCACATAATGTCATTAGTCATGCAAGACTTAGCTTGTTTATCCAGTTCTCCCATTTAATCTTTTATTAAGGTACCACATGCTAAATATGACTGAAAGTTTATGTTTAAGGCACAGGCACAGTAAATATACTGTGCAACTGAGTGTGAACTCCTTTATGCTATTAGAGACATGTGTAAGAAGTTATTTATTATCTATGAGAAGATTAACTGGATCAGCATACAGAACTGAAGAGATCATTGGCAGAGGTTGTTCCCAGGTCCTATCAGTCTTGATATTGGCAAAAGTGTCTCCAAGGCAGGAACTATCATCAGGAGCAAAGCAGCTACATCTTATTGGGGGAGTAGCCTGTACTGGCACTTCAGTGGAAAGTCAAGAAAGGCCTTAACTCTGAGGATAAATTTGTTAGAAGTGTGGGCACACCACAATTTATATTTTTGATGTAACAGTCATGACTGGCTCCTGAAACGCTGGGAGACAATAGACATAGCTTACTGGCCATAGTGGTGTTGACTTGATGGTTGGACTTGGTGATCTTAGAGGTCTTTTCAAACCTTGGTGATTCTGTGATTCTGTTGTTTACAAAATGCGACGTAGCTTGACTGAGCTGAGGATCACGGAATTTAAAGCATTAGTAAATCACTTCTGATGCCACTAGAGGTCAGCACTAGTCATTAAATAAATGTCCTGAGAAAATCTTCTTGCCCGTTTTTCAAAAGGAGGGGAGTTTTTTAAAAAGATACATTGCTATCTAGGTTGGGGTTTGGTTTTGGTTTTGGTTTGGTTTGGTTTTGCAGGCAGGTGTGAACTCACACTGCTAGTGCTCAAGAATGGTGGGAAGCAAATTCCTTCTTCTCCAAGCTGTGCTTCCCTAACACTGTCAGTGATCCACCAGTCCCACAAGGTTCCTACCCTCAGATGCTCTAGTGCTGCGTACAGTCAGGGCAAAAACACAGCACTGAGCCCTGTCCCAGCAAAAGCTTCCCCCCAGCACAGACAGCCCAAAACAACTGACCATCAGCTTCCAGTGCTTTAAGGACTGTCTCAGAAGTTTTAGAGAGGAATCAGGCCCAAAGACCAGCACTTGAAACTGGAGCTAACTCACTCTGCTTTCATACCTTGTGCTTCAGAAAGATGTTGCCTTTCTATTGCAACTCCTAACTGTGTTTTCCATCATCACTGTCTGGGCTTCTGCAAACAGACACTTTAGAAAATTTTAATATAGCTGCTATTGGTAGGCAATGGAATATAGAATGTCCTTTGCTATAAAGAACATAATATTGATGGGATAAACACTGTTACTATCATGTTTATAAATAAAGTTTAAAAACCCGCTAAATTACACAAATCAGAGGGAAATTGTAATGCAAGAAATATGTGTGATTTATTAGCGAGCTTTAGCCTGTGCTTTCAGCATGTGTTACTGACTCCTTTGTCATGGTAGCTGACTGGGTATCAAAACAGAAAGCTCATGCTCAGTGCAATAAGAACACCACTTTTACCAAAACTTTTCTATTCAGTCACTTTGTGACACCTTCCTTCCACTGGGTACGTCAGAGGTAGAAGAAAAGAGGCCCGGACACTGTTAAGAATTATTATGTCTCTACTAAAATATTTTTGTAATGTTATGTAGCTGTTACATATACAGATGATTTATTCCCTTCTGGTTTTTTTTTCCATGCTTAAGAAAACTGGCACTGAAATATCATCCCGACAAGAATCCAGACAATCCAGAGGCTGCAGAAAAATTTAAAGAGATCAACAATGCTCATGCAACACTGACTGATCGGTCCAAACGAAACATATATGACAAGTATGGATCATTAGGGCTCTACGTGGCAGAACAGTTTGGGGAGGAAAATGTTAACACCTACTTCATGCTCTCAAGCTGGTGGGCAAAGGTAAGCTGTTATTTTCTGCTGGAAATTGTGTTACAATTGTGACAATCACATACACAGGGAATGCCTTGAAAAACATGGTCACTCTACAGGCTTAGCAAATAGTAGGACCTGAATCTAAACTGCTATTAAAAGCTTAATTAAACAACAACATTATCTGGAAAACCGACAGTGGCAGAGTGAAACATCAGCTCAGAATAGTCCTAACACAGAATGTTTTATTTTTATTTTAACTTGGTAAATAGTTAAATAGAGTGCATGTTTCGTCACATTTTCAGACATTAATTAGATTTGAATCTAGTGCTCCAGGTTAATTTTGACTTATCTTTTCAGTAATGACTAACTAAAATGACTCATTGTTCAAAAACTAGAAGTCCTGCTTACGTGACGACCAGTTAATAAGTTATTACAGCACAAATTTAGCCATGTTCCTTGCTATATATAACACCCAGCATAAGTAAGCAATACTAATACACAACACTCTGTGATTATGATGTCATACATGTGCCCTGATGAGGGGGTGAGAGGAAGGAAGTGGAAGAAAAGGTGAGAAGAGGGGAGGAATAGAGCAGGAAAGGAAGAGAATTATACATTGAAAACTGGCATATGGCTCAAGGAAAAACACATCATGGGCTATTCTAATCATAAAGGAGTTGTGTTCGTGTGTTTTTCTTATGTCACTGGTGTCCCCTGACATGTTTGCACACGTCAGATTCAAGCTTTTCGCAAATATTGAAATGTTACAGAAAGGTAACAAACCAACAGAATTGCAAGTGTGCAAAATCTGTGCTGTCCCCACCTATTTCCAGGAATAGAGGAACAGGAAAACTTGGGCAATGCTGGAATACATAGGAAAATGATCTGAACTGTGTGAGGCAATCACACTATGACAGCTGTGATCTGAGAACCATGGAACACGGATTCCTGGGTTCGGCCCAGATCCAGCCAGTGTTTCCTTGCCCCACAGTCACCCTTCAAACTGAGAAGCCCTAATTTGCCTGCTGCATCAGGATGAGATGGAAGCTGCTAATACAGAAGAGTGAATGAAAATAATGAACACGCAAAGGTGCAGTTACACCCTCAGAAGCAAGCAGGGGCTGCTTGCCAGCAGGTGCTCCAGCTGACTCCTGCTGCAGGCTGGACTCCCCACCACAGCTGTTGTCTTGTCCTGCTGATCATTCCCTCTTTTCCTTGCTCTCCACCTTCTCCTTTGGCCTCTTCATCATGGTTTAGATGCCAGGAAGCATTGCCTTAGAGTAAGAGAAACAAGGTTTTCTTCACTGCTGTCTTTTCAGCTTTTATTCTCTCTTCTGCTTGCCAATCATTAATAGAGGTTTCATGAAATATAAAATCCTTTGTGGTTAGAAAACCAGGAATAGAAATAACTGCTGCAGCTTTGACTCATAAGGAGAGCACTGGAGAGTGCAGAGAGAAGCTAGGAAGTCCCCAACAGCTAAAGGAGGAACATGTGGATTGCTTCAAGGATGCTGAATGCCAGAGGCAAGATGAAATATGCTGAATATACCAGGAGAAGTAATCACTGCTTCCTGTTTTTTAATAATTCTGTGCAAAAAAACCCAAAAAGGTTCCTATAAACTCATTTGAGGATCATCACAGATGGTCTCTCTCTATCCCTCCCCCAACCTAAAATCTTACTATCTCAAAAGCATAAAGAGGCCACCAAGTGTTTTGGGTTTTTTGCTGGATTTTTTTGTTGGTTTGTTTTGTTTGTTTGTGGTTGTTGTTTTTTTTTGCAAGCTAAGCTCACTATTTATCATCTCTTTTTCACTCATGCACAAATGCTGGGTCAGTTAGAGATCATTATACTATATCAGTCTGAGGTATCATCTGCAGATGACCTCTGGACCTTTAATTTCCACCATTGTGGCAGAAAACAGTAAGGACCACAGCTTCCGCTCATTATCTTCTTCAACTGTGAACATGCCTGGTAAATCCTCTTCTCTATCACACTCACACTTAGAAAACCTGACAATTGTGAGGAGGTGTATCATTAAAAGTAAGGAAACTCAAATGAAAGGAGAAATGCAAAGTGAAAATTACTTTTTTTTCAGAGTGCCAGACTTCTTAGTAGATATATTAAACTGGGACCATACTGACATGGCTAATGGGAACTTTAACTGCTTCCCCACTGCCAGGCATAGGCCTTGTACATGTAACTGTTTTAGCAAAAAGCAATTCTCCATCTAACATGAAGACAGTTTATCGATCACATCCATAAATGGATTCTTCATTTACCAACTATGATAATATAAGCACAAGAAATCTTGAAACATTTACAGTACCATGAATAAATTCAGTGGTTTTTTTCCCTCTATACACTTTTGTTCCATCTGTTTTCATTCTATCCATTGTGGTGATTTATTCCCCATTATGGCTTAAATGGTAAACAGTCAGGTAACTTATTTTAGGGGTTACAGCATTTAGGACAGTTTTGGGTGTCCATTGGAAGGAAAACATTCAAAAAGAAAAAGTCAGAGTCCTTCTCATTGAAAACCACCTTGTTCACACTTGATACATGCCTATATTAATATGAAGCATGTATTTTATATAGTTTTAATCACCTTCCAAGGTGCTCCAGTCAGCTCCCACTAGCATTCCCTGAGACATGCATACTTAATTGTTATTTACATAGCTTCATTGTTGAAGTTTGACAATATCCTGAAGTTTGACAATATCCTGATGTTTGTGCTTGCTTTCTTCTTCAGGGGCGTGTTTTCTTAGGAATATAACAACTAGTTAGTAAAGGGCAGAATGTATAATTATAGTGCAAAAGCCTGGCTTCAAGTGACCTTGTACGTAGCTGGTGGCTACAAAGCTGTGCTGGCTTTACATAAACGTTCCCCATATCAGTCTTGATTCCCTGTTCAGGATCTTCACTGACCTTCCTTTACTCTTACACCACTATGTCCACAATGACATGGGGAGGTTTCTCCCTTGCCACAAACATCTCAGAGCAGGCCTGGATCCATCCCAGCCCGGGAGCCAGGCTGCTGCCCTGCACCCACAGAGCATGTGGTGGCAATGCCAGCCTGGGGGCTAAAGTCTCTATGGGGATGCATCTGAGCCTTTACTTCTTTTTCTCTCAGCTTTGTTACTGAGAAGAATCTGCCAGTAAATAAGTGTTTAAGAAAACAATCTTTGGGCAAATGAGTAATTTTTAAGATGGAAATTAATCATCTTAAGGTGGGTGGGGTTTTTGCATGCTGCCTGAAAGTTTTTTTCTGAGGGGCCATCAGCTGAAGACAGATTTTCCAAAGTTGAGCGTGCAGGGGCCTGTTGGTTGATGTCTTCTTTGTGGACATGATCCCGATTGGCAAGTAGGAGCTGATGGGTGAGGAGGATTTCTGGAGTTCTGGCCCTTCTTTAGACACTTGGCCAACAAACAGCTGGACTCATCTGATTGCCAAGCGCTTGGAAACCTGTGTTCCTTCACAATCTGGCTTCATCTGTAAAAGTATGAGGAAGGTCATTGCTCATGGGGTTTTCCTCCTGCTGTGTTTAACCCAGGGCCTGTTTGCAGTCTGTGGCCTCCTGACAGGCTGCTATCTCTGCTGCTGCCTCTGCTGCTGCTTCAACTGCTGCTGTGGAAAGTGTAAACCCAAAGCACCTGAAGGGGAAGAGCAGGAGTTTTGCGTGTCTCCAGAAGATTTGGAAGAGCAAATTAGGAACGACATGGAAAGAGGTGTGTATTATAGGGGCTTGCTGTGTGGCAAAGCTGTTCAAAACAATCTTTAAAGCCTGTAGGCCAGATGTTCTGCTCATGATGCTGAGGCTGCTTCCAGACATCAGTGAAGACATGCCAATTCACTCCAGCTAACGCTGTGACCTGATGAACTTACCAAGTTGTGCGTTAATGAAAAACTGAGCTTATGGTACGAACGATTAAATATCTCCTGTATCTCTTATGAGACATCTGAATATTAGAAGGCTCAGGGCTGATATTAAGAGACAATGTTCACCCTCTAGCCCTCGTGCCCACATTGCTTCGTATCATATATCCTATACTTATACATTAGAGTCTGCCTGGACTGGTGCTTGCCACATCTGATCTGCCTGAATAAGCTGTCATTTGGATTTTATTACTGTAAAATTTATCACTGACTGTGATGGGCCAACTGTACCCATTCAGGAAGAGGCTTCAAGATGCCAAGTTTCCAACAGTAGGGTTGTGCAGCAACCTATGATCTTTAGGGTCCCTTCCAACCCAAACCATTCTGTGAGTCTATGGGTCTATGAGAGTTTACATGGGAGGTGCCATGGTGCTGTCCCCATCCCATCCAGCCCCCAAGCTGCTCACTCCCTTCTGCACTGGCAGTAGCAGTAGAACTGCCCTACCAGCAGCCAGGTCTTGGATAAGATCCTGGTGAAAACTAATCCTCTCAAAATCACATGTAGTTCCCTGCCCATTTAATTCCCTGCTGTGCTTCACAGTGGGGCGGGCCACGTGCCAATGCTGGCTCAAAGAAGGAGAAAGAGCACCCATCTGGGAATGCAGGCTGAGGGCAGCAGGACCCACTTCACAGCAGGTCACCCTCTTTCCTCAGCTTTGCTGAGGGATCCAGCTGCACACTCAGGTTTTGGCTACACCAAAGGATGGTGGTGGTGATTTTCTACATTGGCAATAGTGTGAGTTACATCTTTTGGAAGAAGAGCTCTGTCCTAATGTGCTGAAGTGGGGCAGAGTTCTGCCTTCAGGGAAAGCAGAGATACCTCAGGGTTGTTAGATCTGGACACTTGCAGGACAGGCTGAGAGAGGCTATGATCCTTGCTCAGGCCAAGGTATCAGGGGAAGACTTAGGCCACTTTTCAGTTCCAAATTTACATAAACTATGGTTAGAGTGATGCTTTTTTTATGGGGAAGAACCTATGCAGTCAGCTCACTCTTTTTCTCTTCCATTGTTATGGAAAGTCTTAATCTGTTACAGTCTTACGTTTATTACCCTTAAATTAGCACTGCCAGATTGCAAATGTCATGTTCCCTTAGCAGGAAGAATTTTACCCCCCCCCCTACTTTTCACACAACTTTACCCTCACATAAATATGTAACAAAACACTTGCAGTAGTTGAAACAAATGCTATTTATATAACTCACTGCCAGTGTGTGGTGGTGTTTTTAAATTGTTTTTGCCTGGAGGCCTATCAAGGTAAATACAGTCATCTTAAGTCATACTTGATCAGTGTCTGCAAAGGCAACAAAAACTATTAATTAAAACCTGGAAAAAATTTAAGATGCTCCCCAACATTATGCACCTGAAAAGTGCAAATCTCAAGTGGGTCTTGATATTTATGGGTTTATGACAACAGGTTTTTTATATGATGATGAAACTTTGAAGGGTAAAAATAATTCTGCCCTTTTTGTAGTTTGGCAGGTATTTTGCTCTTTCTCAAAATCCAGCACAAAATTCCCCAGTGGCAGAAACAACTTTTTCCCTCCTTCTGGCACAGATGCTATTTACTGTAATCAGTAACTTTAGGCCACCTTCCTATGCCCTTGCTCCCACCAAGTCTCACTGAGATACCAGTTTTGAAAAACAATCTAAAATGTTTAGCAAAGTACCAGTCTGAAAAATTAACAAAATGTGGGATTATGTGTTTTAAATAATTTGAAGACAGCATTAAGTGCATACATAGGGCCTGGAGAAAATGAGATTTTTCTGCCCTTTTCTTCAGTGTTACTACATTTTTCTACCAATCAAAACTAGCTTGCCTCAGTAGAGTAGAATTCTCTATATTTTAAAATTAGATTAAAAGAGAACAGCATATCAGGAATAAAAGTAAAAACTTCATAATAGAGGATAATGTGAGCATCTTTTCTGCCGCTGAAAGGAAAATGGATGCTGCATTTAGAAAAATTAATGATAACCAGTCCAGACTGCCTTCCCCATGGCCAAATGTTAGGAATGCTGGCCAGAAAGATGGAGCTGACTTAGAATGGCAAAGATTGGTCTTTTTCACCAGGCATTTTCAAGTGTTGGGCCACAGAAATGAATACTTATGGCCTTCTTTATGTAGCTAATAGAAATGCTCCTACAGGTAATTCAGAAACAAACTGTAAACACTCCTGCAGCAGATGTCATGTTGGAAGAGGAAATCCTATTAGGATCCAAATTCTTTGTAAGACCTGCAGCCACAGACTGAGCTTTCTACCTGGTAATTAATTTCCTTGCTTTCTAGCTGGTAATTAATTTCTTTGCTTCCTTCTGTTCCCAGGATCCATATTACTGCTAGCCAGAACTTTTTTTGCTAAGGTCAAAATGTAGATTCTCAAGCTAAGGCCATACTTCAATTTATCCAAGTATCTTGTAGTCAGTCATTGCTTTACTGAGGAATGCAATATCAATAAAACATCAGCATTTCTGATGCTAAAAAACTCTGAGAGAAAGTTTCCCCCAGTTGTTGGTGCACTCAGTGGAAGCTGCTTGGAGCCAGCCGTGCTGCACAGAAGAGGTTGTGAGAGTTGAGGTTTAGACTTCATCCTTTTAGCTGGCACAACAGTAATCATCTTCAGAGTCCCTTACATTTCTTTTAAACAAAATGAAGGTGTTACGCAGTTGATTTCTCTCCTCAGATTGATATACCATAAATCACAATTATTAGTGGAAAAAAAAAAAAGAAATGTGAGGCCAAAAATTCAGTGATCCATTCGCTAAAGTGTGAACAGTGAGTTGTCACTGAAATCAACGCAGTCACGTCAAAGGTTTCAATTCTGATAAAATTACATGGTCTTCCAGAGGGAAGTTTTATTCAAATGTATGTGACTAGTTCTAGTGCTCAGCTAGTTGAGTATCTCCTGTGGGAGATTAGTTTTACAGCATGTACTTCATGGGTAGCATCAGAACTAAAGGAACTTGGGGATTTGCAAGCCCTGGCCTGTGCGTAGGCTACAGTGATTACTTTTCACTAATCAAGATTTTTACCACAGAGTACTGCAGCCTAATGTACAATGGACAGTCACCTTCCAAAATAAGTCTTACATTTGGATTATTACATTTTAAAAGTGACAGTTTTTAGGGTTTCAGATCAAACATGACACTAAAAAAAAGTGAAGTATGATAATCTGTAGTATCATGCCGTGATGTTATGGGTGACCTGCAAAAATACACTGCCAGTGGGAAGTACCACTTGCTCCTCTGCAGCACATGTTCATCACTTTCACTCACACACACAGGCAAATTGCTAGATTTTGCTTCCACTAAAGTGAATGAGAAACTGCTTGTTGACTTTTGTGGTCCCAGAGAAGGTGACACTGGAATCTGGGTTGCCTTGGTACTTCAGGTTGTAGGGGTGCACTCAAGATGGGCAGGTTTGTTATCATCTTAAGAACAAAGCAAGACACCTCTACACCAACTTTCGTTTTACAAAATATGAAATATGGGGGGAGGGGGTGACACAGGGAAAAGAAGACCCTGAATAACAAAATACTTTCCCAGCTCAGAAGCAATAAGTTTTTAGCACTTCATTGTCTCCTCCGCACTCCATATGATACCGATGTGGGCGAACAGTGAACAAAAGCTATCTATAGAAAGCAGTTGAAACTGTGAATTCTGCTGCACCTCCATTCTGCAGCTCTCCAGTAGCAGGCTATATTTGTACAGTTCATTATACCGTGGGCCCCTGTTCTGATAAAAAAAAAAAACCCATCATAAATCTTAGAAGGGTGTGGGCATGCAAAGCACTTGGGCAAGGTGTCAGCTCAGAACTGTTTGCACGTTAACTGGAAGCAAAGCAACAGATTTGCCGTGGGTCCTGTTCTCTTGTTGCACATCTGGGTATGACAGCAAAATGAGCTGCTAGCCTCTGCCCTCCTTCAACCATCTTCCCTCAAATGAACAACTTGGAGGCAGCAGAAGGTGGGAGGGAATGCTGCTTGGAAATCTAGAAAATACATTGCAACTTAAAAATGGATTAGAACTGCCAAACTAATCTGGACTCGAGCTGAGCACTGAGCATTAATTACTCATATATTTTTACAAGTTATGAAACATGTCTGTCTTTGACCTTGTGTCTAAATACAGAATTGCCCATACAGAGAAGCTGCTTGGCATTTAATCACTCTTGCCTTTCACCTTGACAGAGTCAAAGTTGTTCTACCCCCACTGAGGGAAGCCGTATGGCATGCAATTAGATTCCTGCTCTGGGTAGAGTTACTCCTGTACATTATATCTCTTGCCCATGATTCATCCCATCAACTGTCATGTAAACAGGAGGAAATGTCAGATGGGTTTTTTTCTGAACATTGGGTCATTTGGCAGGGGAAAAAAAAAAAGTCATCATTTTGTATTCAATTACTGTGAAGGCTGTGCTAGTATCAAAATACAGACAGTCCACAATTTTTCATATTAAAACACTTCACTGAGATGGGCTCGACCTTTAAAAGTCAGTCTCTGAGTCTTGAGTCTCTTCCTGCCTCCCCCCCACCTCCAAAAAAAAAAAAAAAAAAAAAAATATTAAAAAAAGGAAACTAATCCCTTTATAGACATTCTTCATATGGTATGAAAGAAAAAAAAAAAAAAAAAAAAAAAGATGGGTTGGAAAAAGGCCCAGGAGAAGGGCACAAAACCTTGTTCATTATCAGAGGGAACACAGTGACCATCAGGGAACTCTGTAAGGACTTCACTTTCCTCCACTTTTACAACAAATGTGTTTTTTACAGATATATTGGGAAACCAAACACGTAACTGCATGGAATGAGAAAGCACAAAGCAGTAAGGTTTTATATAGTGATAATATGAAGTTCTGGCAGTTCCAAACTCATTAGAACAGTTAAATCTCAAAAGCCTATTGTGTGCATATATGTATATATTACATAAGACTTCAAAAGGCAATTTAGCATTTTTATTTAACTTTCAGGATATATATTATTTTTTCCATCTCAAGTAAGTTACTTAACATGTTTTTGGTTTTTTTTCCTTTTAACTTTCTTCTTTCTTTACTGTTAACTCTGCCTTCTTCAAGACTCATTTCTGGCCCATTCTTGCAAATGCTGTCAAGGTTAGTGCTTGCTGACTCACAACAGCACTTACTATATCCAGACATTTGCAGGAACAACCACTTGCAGTTGGAACAGGCAGGGACCCTGATCTTGCAACCTTTGCAAAGCACCAGGTACAGCTAATGCGAGTTTAGCCACAACAGCAATAGTCACCCAGAAATCTGCCACTACAGGTGGACAAGGAGTAAGAGCATTTGCAGGCTTGGTGTGGGCATTACTGCCTCCTCAGTACACACGCAGCTGTCTGTGAAGCCAGGATGAAGCCGTGGTCAGAACAGCAGACGAAATATTGCGATGCTAACAAGAAATCTGACTTCGGCAGCAAACGAAGGATTCTTAAAGTCCTTTCTGTCTTCCTCCCCAATTTAGATGGAGAAACTCCTATCGTGCTTCAGCCGACTAACGCGACAGAGAAGACCCAGCTGATAGGGGACAGCCACCGGAGCTACCGCACTGACTCCTAGGGCGGGGAGAGACAACCTGTTGGTGCTTCCCACTGAGTGTCGAGAAAAACACACGTGATGAGCTGTGCAGCCTATATTGGTAGTTGCCTTTAAGCTAATCAAGAGTAACTTGAGAGTCATTTTCTATCAAGGCAGAATCTCCCCCTAGGCCACTTAAAGTAGGTTGATATCTACACTCTGCAAGGAGGTATCTACGGCCAGTACAGAGCTCTGCAGATAAGCATGCTGGTCTCTCACAGCTTCAAACTGCCAAGCTCTGCATGGTCTTTCCCTCTAATAATGCTCCCTTTGGTGTGATTGGTTTCCTGCCTGCCCGCGGCTGGGGTTTCACCTCCCAGACACAGTCCCGAGTCCCTCTCCTAACACACCAACTCCATCTTTCCCTGCCTCAGGAGCGCTCTTTACACACAGCAGTGTTGCTGGATGTGAAACATTCCAGTGAGGGAGCCATAGAAATGCTCTTTAGGAAACCTCAGAGGGGAAGCTGGTGGCAAGGCAGACAGGAGTATTCTTCCCAGAGAAGAAGGGCTCTTTGGAAAGCAGCTATCAGCTTGATGGGGCCCAGCCCCAACAATTACAAATCTGAGCCAGGACACAGCGGTCGGGGTGGTTACAATGCAGGTCAGTCCCAATCCAGGAGCCTCATCCAGCACCAGGAGCACACAGGCTCTGTGTCCTCCCCTGCACAAGTTGCAAACCTGGGAGACAGTTGGCAAACACCTTGTGGAGGGGGAGGCTGTCCCTGGGCTATCCCAGAGCCTCTCCCCTCTCCCCCCATAGCCCCTATGGCAATGCTCTCCCATTCCAGGCTGGATGCACCTGCCACACATGCTGGGTGGCCCCAGCTTCTCCAGCTGCAGCTGCAATGTGCTGGAAATGGGTTCCCTGCCAACAGCTTTCTGAGGCCTTGCTTATTCCTCCGTGCCCCTGGCTGCCAGCCCTGCTGCCCCACTGGCACTGGGCTGGGAGCCATCGTGCCAGCGCTGGCACTGGGGCTGCAGGAGCAGCAAGGACGTGGCAGGGCAGGCAAGCAGCAGAGGAGCAAATGTCCTCCTCACAGCCCAGCTCCTCAGGGTGAGCATGGGTCTTCCTCTCTGCCCCAGGCACAGGGGCTTTATGAGCACATGGCATGACCTTAAAGAAAGAGCGAGGGAGGAGATGTACATTCAAGTGTCCCACTGCACACATCAGTGGAGATACAGCAAGCATGAAGAAATTCGGGCTCTGATTTGTAAGAGCTGAAGAAATACCTCTGAGATCTTAAATGTATTCACTTCACTGGTTTGACATAGAAGCTTAAGCCTTAGACAGCTGAATTTCCTTATTGATCATGTTACATCAATCACTGTCAGTCATTTGCTATTTTTGCTCCTCTAATCACAGTCCTGCAGCCCAAAGGGGGATGCAATGTACGGCTACATTATATAGACCAATGAATATATAGCTAGTCAGAAGTGTTATTCCTGTCTTTAAAATTGGATTCTGCCATTGTGAAGCAGTATTGTCTTCCTTCTATTGTCACCTTTCACATCACATGTCATTCATTGGCAGCTAAATATATGGGCAAACAATGTGTTTGACAGCACAAGCTACAGATCCAAGGTCAAGAAAATGTACTTTTAACATTTTTTCAAAGTTCCCATAACACACGGACATTGTAAAAGCCATTCATTCCAGTTCAGGTAATACGTCTGTTCTCCAGGTGCAGGAACTGGGACCAGCTGATACTCACATTGCCCTCAGAAATAGCCTTGATTTTCTGCTTCAGAGAAGAGGGGAAGTCCTGGGACTGTGGACAGGCACTTGCTCCTCTCCAACCCATGGGCTCCAATTTGTCCCCTGTTGCATCCTGAAAATAATTTTGGAGGTCACTTACGTGTATATAAATTCAGACCACTGTCCTACCTGCCCAGCAGTGCCAGAGGGATGTGCCCATCCATCCTGGTGGTCCCAGCAGAGGGGAGCTGGTGACAGCATCCTGCCACCGAGGAGATGTGACCCCAGCAGGCATGTTCCCAGCAGTAGCTGAGTGCCTCACCTCTTCCCACAGGGTAGCCAGATCAGAAGGCAGTGCCCAGCCCACTGGTACCTGCTGGGGGACACCAGCACCCACTGGCCCAGCACACACACCTCTTCGGGCTGTCTTGGCTTTGCACAATGTTTGCTCTGGGGTGAGATGCTGTGATCAAACAAAGGAGTAGGGAGTGCAGGGAGTATGTGGCAAATCTGCAGGCTATGGGATTTCTTGTTTTACTCTCTGGTAGAGAAATCCACTGTTAAAGGGAGCACAAGCTGTGTGCTCATGACTGATTTCAGCAGAGATGGAAAAGGCGTTGGGAGAGAAGTCATGTTAGTGTAAAGATACACATTTTACATGGAACCCTTCCCCATGTGAAATTTCTCCTCCTGCTCTCGTGGAAGTCACTGGAAATTGCACCCTTGATTTCAACAACAGCGACAAATCACAGAGTCACAGAATCATAGAATTGTTTTGGTTGAAAAAGACCTTTCAGATGATCAAGTCCAACCATTAACCTAACACTTCAAATTCCAGCACTAAACTAAACTAAGCATCACATAAATACCTCCAAGGATCAGTCCTAAAGATAGGGAGGGAAAAGTAGATCCCAGATTAGTAAATTGGGGATTTTTTTTACATGTAACCCCTTCAGTATCCCTCTGGACTCCACTCTATGGGCCAGAGCCAAAGTTTACTGAAAACAAGGAAATTATCTTGGTGGACTTGAGATGTGAGATGTCCCTGCTTATGGTCAGGGGATTGGACTAGATGACCTTTAGAGGTCCCTTTCAACCTAAAAAGTCTATGATTCAGTGATTCTTTGTACCCCAAGTCATGTGGTTCTTATTAACTCTTTCCTGGGAAGCACTTATGACTTGGTCTCAGTGTGATGCAAAGATAGAATCATAGAATTATAGAATCATAGAATCAACCTTGTTGGAAAGGACCTTGAAGGTCATCAAGTCCAACTATAACATAAACCCCCTACCATAACCTAATTTACCTGTTCAGTGCTTAAATCATGTCACTAATGACTGTATCTACATTTCTTTTAAACACATCCAGGGATGGTGACTCTGCCACCTCCCTGGGCAGCCTGTTCCAGTGTCCAACTGCTGTTTTGGTAAAAAAATTATTCCTAATATCGAGTCTAAACCTCCCCAGGTGCAGCCTCAGGCCATTTCCTCTCCTCCTGTCATTATTCACTTAAGAGGCCAACTCCCACCTTGTGCAACCTCCTTTCAGGTAGTTGTAGAGAGCAATGATGTCTCCTCTCAGCCTCCTCTTCAAACTAAACAATCCCAGATCCTTCAGCCTGACTTCATAGGGCTTATTCTCCAGACCTTTCACCAGCTTGGTAGCTCTTCTCTGGATACACTCCAGCAACTCTACATCCTTCTTGTAGGGAGGGGGCCAGAACTGAACACAGTACTGGACAAGCTGCTGCATGTTGGCAAAGCCCCTTTACAGATGTGGGGATCCAGATGGAAGAGCCATAACATAATATCTCAGTTAGCCAAAAACCTCAGAACTAACCAGTGAAGGAGCCTCTAAGTTGGCTCCCTGGGATTTGCAGCTTAAAAACCAGAGTGTCTGAACCCATGGTTTAATTCCAAAGAGGAAACTTGGTTTTCAAAGCACCAGAGCATTTGCCTCTCTCACTGCTGTCACAACCACCTATTCTGAGGACATGCGGAAAAAGGATTAATAAGGGTTTCAGGACTTGGCTCTTCAGTGTGTTTTTACTCATTTGTTTATTTCTCAGAAAAGTTCCTAAACTGAATATAGCTATGCTTACCTGACCTGTTTCTGTGTACAGTTGAGTTGCACACCCATTAATCTTTTCAACATGTACAGATTCTCAGATTTTTGTTGTTTTGCTGCGTTTATTTATATGTAAACTACTATGTATTCAAATCTACCTTTGCTGTCAACCGCTCTGACTAATAAAGGTTGTATGTATGAACTGTAGCACTCCCTTTACTCCTTCATGCTATAAACAGTTTAATTCCCGTAACAGCCAGAGAAGCTGTCCAAAATTATGCCTTTGCACCCCAACAAGTAGCAACTTGGGGCTTCCCCAAAGAGGAACTTGGTCCTGGATTGCAGCAGATCTGCCTACCTATGCAAAGCAGCCAGAGCTATCGATGCACATTGCAAACCTTGTATATAATGCAGAATGCTTGTCTAAAAAAATAAACCAGCAGTGTGATGAAGCGATATTACACAGGAGTTTTACTGGCATCAGTTCCAATATGGAATGATTTCCCCCAGCAAAGGGTGAGCGCAGAGGGTGGAACTGTGATGCTGCTGAGGACAATGGCAGACATCACATCAACCTGCCTAGGGCAAACATCTCGCTCAGGCAGTGACTTTTTCTGTCCCAGAGCCAGTGCATAGTGCCATGTCATCTGGGCCTGCTATGAAACATTTCTCAATAGGATGGCATCCAGTCTCAGTGACCAGTGAACCCTGAGCATTTGAAGAATGGACAAAGGGCAACTGTTTTGGCTGGCTGTATTCTCAAAAGAGGTGTCCTTTTGCACGTTTAGCTATTAACTCACACCCAGATTCACCCAAAATGGAAGAGGCATCATAGGAGATTTCAGCCTACCATCAACACAACCCATGATTTAGGTAGTTTGTGCAGTCTTGGCCCCACAAGAAGCATGTGTGATAAACCACTCAATCCAAAAAACGTCAAGCATAATTATGTCATTTACTTACCTTCCTTCAGTGTGAATACCCAAGGTATGGGCACGATCTCAGTCAAAAAGAATTACATTTCTGCCTCTTCTTAGAATAAAATCATTAGAGGCAGAAATGATGAAGCATGCAAAACTGAACACAGTTAAAATTGCTGATATTTTTCTATGCTACCATTCGGTAGAAAATAAAACATTCACTGTGCAGAAGACTGGGAGACTGCAGATGACAGCAATCCCTTTCCTTCTCTCCATGAATTCTAAATTGCTGCATC